TCAAATTATTTCTATTGGATACCATATTTCATATTGAGGTTATGCATTAAAAACAAAAATCGAATTTGTATTCTTAAATTTGGAGGATTGTATTTGTTAACATTTCAAATTAACATTAATATTGGTATCAATTTAAATTTTAGACTTTTGAAATTAAGTCTAAACTATTTTAGAGGAGATTAGAAGGAATGAAGAATATGCTGAATCCGACTGTTTTAACTAATTATATATTAGTTTCTATATTTGAAATCATGTGAAGATTATGCATTAACGTTTTTAAATTGATGCAAATTAATTAGGGCTTTAATTAATAGAATTATTAAGGATGCAAACTTCCATGTTTAGGGGTCTAGATGGATTTTTTTTATTATAAAAAAGTGAACTTTTTCTATTTTTGTAAATTATTATAATATTACACATATTCCTTCAAATATATGATTCCAATAAGTTTAAAGTAATAAAAGAGATGTTTATTGTTTTAATAATAGCTAAATTGCTAGTGGACAATGTGTATATATATATATTTTGTGAGTTCTCATCTATGCCTATTTCTTTAGTATAAATGAAATTATGTGTTATTTATTTATTTATTTATATTTTCAACTTGGAGTGTTCTTAATTTTTTATCCAATTTGGCCTGTAATTTGAAATTGATTATTTTTGTCATAGTTTTTTTTTTTTAAAATTCAATTTCAACGCAACACATTAAAAAAAAAGAATTTTTTTTATATGTTTGTATTATAAAATAAAATTGATTACTGGTAGAATTAAGAATGTATGCTTAAATTTAAAGTTTTTATTATGAAGGTGCAACTAGAGATAACTATTAACTTTTTTTTTTTTAAGTATTTATTAACTATTATATTTTGAATATTATTATCAAAATGATCTCAAATAGTATCATTATTTGAATTACATCTAAATATAATTTTCAAATTTAAAATCCAACATCCAACATATGTGATATAGGACTATTCAAAAATAAAAAATAAATAAATAAAATAAAAAACCCATGTAAATAAATAAAATAAGTGCATCGTTTTCTATACATTGGATACCCTTTCTCCATATTAAAATAAATATGACATTTATAATACATGTGCTCATAAATGAAATGTCAAGCAAAGTGGCAATATTCACGTATCTTAGGGGTTATTCTGCAAAAAAAAAAAAAAAAAAAAAAAAAAAAAAAAAAAAAAAAAAAAAAA